ACATTTCAAAGTGGTTGAAAGGGTCCCCACCAGATCCTGTCACAATTCCCCCCCCCGAGCTTTGAAGGCCGGGGCCATTGTTCGCCGATTATAAATGATATTACTTTAAAGTTGATTTCCCACAATATTTAAAGGATGTAGCGGGAGCGTCGCTATTTATTTTTGGCGTAACTTTTCAAGGGAATTAGCATAAGTAGCCCATGCGTCCCTCAGCCCGTCTTCCCCTTTATGCGACATCAAAACGTCTCGAAAAATATACTTTGAAAGGAGGGGGAGAGCTAATTTAGGGACCAGGACTTCTCTGCCTCGACAGAAACGTCCCGTTTCTCTCGCCCGGGGTGGCTGCAGAGCCCCCCGAAGCCGACCCATCCTTGCCACCTCCCCAGAGGAGAGCACAATGAAACTTTCCCCCCTGTTTCATGACAGAAATTACATTAAAAGTGGTGGAAATGCCCTAATTAAAAATGTACCGCTTAAATGATATGCCAACCGTTCAGCTGCAGAATAGCGTATTGAGCTAGTTAGTGAACTCGCTACTATTTCTTTTAAAATTACATGTTAAAATTTTAAAAGAAATCTTACTTTTCTCTGGTGCAACACATTACAAAGAATGGACAGTCCTTTTATCTAAATATAAAATTCCATTTTCAGCAATTATAGCCTGTTCTTGGTGATGATATAATTACAGCTGTGCTCAGTAATAGGTGTCAAGGCAATGCACACTCATACAATAGTTGAATAAAACTGCAGAACAATGCAGGCACTTCTAAATTCACAACCTTTAAAATGAAATTGACTGTGCAGAATTCAAATAAAAACTGGATAAATATTTTTTAAAAAAGATTACAAGCTTGGTTTGGTTTCTTAATAGCATTTTCTGCAAACCTATCAACATCTAATTGATTAGATAGGAATTACTGATTATAGATAATCTGAAATACTGAACATCGCTATTTTAAATATAGCAATAGGTAAATAAATGCAGCAGACAGAGGAGACTGCCATGGCACTTCAGCGATTCATGGAAAGAATCACTTTCAGGGGAAAGTATTTTTATGTAGGTTTTATTCCAGAGGAAAAACAAAATGAAATTAAGACCCGGCGATTGTAATTCCTCATCTCTGATGTTTACGATAATGCTGGAAACGGAAATGTTTCCCTGTTGCCCGTGTCATTGGCACAACGTTGCTTTGATACTCGAGACGTGATTGAGGGAGGGTGTGAGCAAACATGGCCGAACTTGTTTCCAATCGCATTATTTCTCTGATAGGGATCTTAAAACAAGGGTACCTGCGTTTCACTTTCCGACTCTCCGTTCCGCAGATGGCTGTCCGCAACAGGAGGGAGGAGGGGAAAACACTAACTCCATCAGCTCTAATGGAGAAGATTCAGACGAGGCCCAAATGAGACTGCAGCTGAAAAGAAAGCTGCAGAGAAATAGGACATCCTTTACCCAAGAGCAAATTGAAGCCCTTGAGAAAGGTGAGTGACATTTTCCTGCAGCTGAATCAGGAGAGAAAGGGAAAGTGTGCCCTGGCTATATTAAGAGCTGAACGGAAACATGGCATTCATGTGCCTTATATATATGTATATATTTGAAGTCCATGGCTCCCTCTATGCTCTTTTATTCATTGAGCTCCGAATATTCATCGATGGCTGCGATATGCACCGAAAAGCTGTTAAAAGCTTCTCAAAGGGAACATACTCAGGGCATAGATCATACCGAAACATCAGGGTACACTCTGGGCTCCTCTCACGGGGGATAAATCTCCTCCTGCCAACTGTGCCGTCCCTGGCTAGGCAGCGTTGCTGTATCGTTGTACACAGGGAAGGTGAGGGCAGGCAGCTGGGGCTGGCAGCAGCCCTCCGTGCTGCCCCCACGCTCGCTCCCCGTCCCCAGCGCTGCCGCTGCCCGGGGCTGGGAGCAGGTGCCCTTTTCCCTGAGCGGCCTGGGCGCACCTCGCCTCTGACCCACTGCAGATCTTTGTTCTTATTCTCTGCTGTTATTTAGCGATGTGCCATTTCACTTCTTGGTGACAGGGTCAGAGCTGCCTTGGGGACCCCCTCAATGGAGGCAGAAGCCCTCACTGCTTCTTGAAAGATGCAGTATCGCACCCAAGCCTCCCCATCCCCTCAGCCATATTCCCCAGCAGGCAAAGCATCCTCCTTCCTAACACACACACACACACACACACACACACACACACACGGAGGATGCTCAGCTTTGCCTTTACAGTGATGTTTCTTAAGAGCATGTAGAGCACAGGCAGCGCAGGAACGGCTCTGTTTTACAGTCAGCCACGCTGACTCTCTGTAACTAACGCAACAAAATTTCCCTCTGCAGAATTTGAGAGGACCCACTATCCCGATGTGTTTGCAAGAGAGAGACTAGCTGCTAAAATAGACCTGCCTGAAGCACGGATACAGGTACTGAGCTGCTGTGCAATTATGTCTATCAGTATTTTTACTATCGCTATTCTAATTTTGTTATTCCTGGTTGCTCAAAGCAGAGGGCAGCCCCTATATATGAGGAGATATTTGTCCATCTCCTTCAGGAAAATAACAGCAGCTGGGGTTGGCTTTCGCACGCTGCTGTGCTGCGCTGAGAGCCAGCTTTCCATCAGCACAGTCTTGAGTTATGTGGGGGAGGTCCCACACCTCCACTCCTTGTAAGGTCACTCACGTCTCTCAAATACTGTATTTCCAGGTGTGGTTTTCTAACAGAAGGGCCAAGTGGAGAAGGGAAGAGAAGCTGAGGAACCAGCGAAGACAAGCCAGCAACACTCCCAGCCACATTCCCATCAGTAGTAGTTTCAGCACAAGCGTTTACCAGCCGATCCCGCACTTTCCCCAGCCGATCCCGCAACCGACCACCCCCGGTAATGCCACCGACCCGCTCGCCTTCATCCATCCTCTTGGGAAAATGAGATTCTGAGAGTGTATCGCCAATTGTAATTGTGGTTAAACTAATGTGTTCATCTATCTGTCTATTCTATTATAGTTTCCTCTTTCACATCAGGTTCCATGTTGGGCAGAACGGACACAGCGCTCACAAACACGTACAGCGCGCTGCCGCCCATGCCTAGCTTCACCATGGCCAACAACCTGCCTATGCAAGTGAGTCTGGTGCTGCCGCTGTGGCACAACGCTCCCTCGGGACTCGGCGGGCCCTGGGGTGTGCGGGAGCAGGAGAAGGGGCTCTTCCTCCCCAGGACAGGGGGTTACGGACCCAAACCATGCTGCAGGGAAAACAGCACCAAAGGCTTCCCCAG